ACCCAAACAGCAAAGTTGGTGGCCCGCCCCTCTCTGTGGGAGCTCTGTCTCAGGAATGTTTCAAATCTCCATTGGCCAGGGAACACTGGTGTGGGTAGCTGTAAGCCCCAGGTGAGAGGTCCTGTTCAGTAAGGAGGAACAGGGTCAGGGGCCTGCTTACAGAAGCAGTCTGGCCATGATTTGATAAAGCAGCTGTGCTGTGCTGCGAGACCTCTTCTGCCCCTGGTCGGTTTGTACTCTCCAATGCCTGCAGGCTGGAATAACTAAGTTCCTCCAACAGGAAAGATGGCGGCCTGCCCTGTCTTTTCTCTCAGAGTTTATCTTCTGTGATGGAGCTGAATTTTTAGGCCGTTAATTTTGCAATAAGCATTACAGTTGTTCAGAAACAATCTTGCTGTTATCTTTCAGGTTAGATGTATGAGAATTCATTGTCTCCTGGAAATAAACCTGTTCATATTTTGTTCTCTGGAAAGAAGTCTCTTTCTGCTATCTGACTTTGGTCACAGTCAGGTAGAGCAGTATCAAGTCTACAATGACATGATTGAATTTCCATTTCCAGTGTTTCCTAGTTGTGTCTTACATCCTCCAATTCAAAACTGACCATTTTATTCTTCATTGTCAAAATGCTAAGCTGTCCACTGTCCTTAAATACTATCTTTGTTCATTCTTCCCTATCCAATTTTATAGACTTTAGAATATTAGCATTATTTTCTTTCACATTTTCAATGTCCTCCAAAAGTTTTATTTTCCCTTAGCGGGTTCTGCTGTTTTACTGTGTCTAGTTCCAGTCTTAGCATGGCAATTTTTTCCCACAACATGCTATTTGCATGCAAGAGATATTTTTCTTTCTTATGGGTAAGAGGACTCTAAGTCAACAAAGGAAAATTTTAGCACACAATAGAATAACGTATCATAATTTCTTCTGAAATTAAAGAATAACACATATATTTGTACAATGAAAGAATTCCCATAGTGAATATTTAACTGAATAAAAGTTGGACAAAACTTCAAACCTAATAGACTGTAAATTCCAGAAAGTTTAAATATTGCTTTAAATACCATGAAAAATAAATCACTAGAGGATTTTAAAGAATTTCAGAATTGGGAAAGCCTTTCTCTGAATTACAAAAAAACCCATAGGCATAAAATATAAGATGATTACATTGGACTACGTTTTTAAAATTGGATTTACCTTCTCATATCTATCTTATAAACCATACCATTGTAAGAGCCTGAGCTATGCATATATTTGGACAGAAGTAATTTCTCAAAGTTTTAAGTTTCTTTTTCTGAAGAATGCTTTATCAATATATGACTTTTCTAATACTTTTATAGTCAGTTATAAGAATTACATTTATTCATAACCGTTAAATCTAAGTATTGTATCCTTCTATATGTACACATCTGCATCTAAGCATTGCACTTCTACATACAACTCTGAACTCATTTAAGATCGGGATTCTTAAAAAGAGAAAAAAAATATATGTGGCTGGATAATGTGGCTCATGCCTATAATCCCAGCACAGCATAATGTTCAGTGTTGTATGTAGCACTGCACCTCTATGTGTGGCCGGGCACAATGGCTCACACCTATAATCCCAGCTGCTGAGGCAGGTGGATCACGAGGTCTGAAGTTCGAGACCAGTGTGGCCAACATAGGGAAACCTCATCACTACTAAAAATAAAAAAATTATCCAGGTATGGTGGTGTGCACCTGCAATCCCAACTACTCAAAAGGTTGAGGTAGGAGAATCATGTGAACCAGGCTGTGGAGGTTGCTGTGAACTGAGATCATGCCATTGCACTCCAACCTGGGTGAAAAACCATGTGAGACTCTGTTTCAAAATAAAGGTGTGTGCACGTGTGTGTGTGTATATATATATGTATATAGGTGTGTGTATATATATATATATGTTTGTGTGTGTGTTTATATATGTATATATATATATATACATATATAGACACACACACCGATGTATAGAGTATATTGTGAAGAATTTTCCCTAGATCATCTGATGCTACTTCTAGTGATCCTCCAGAAAATCACAGTTATGTCGGTGGTGTATATATGTAACACAGAAGAAGCCTTTAATTCAAAATATGAATGATAAATAAGATATGACATAGAAATTTTCTTAGAAATCATGAGATTAAGGAGGATACAACATGGCCAAATAGGAACATCTCCAGAGTGCAGTTCCCAGCGAGAATAGTGCAGAAGGTGAGTGCTCACTGCGTTTCCAAACAAGTTTTCACTGCCCACAGACCAGGAGATTCCTGAGCGGAAAAGCACCATGAGTTTTCATTTCAGTGGATTCAGCCAGTGCTGGGTCAGCACAAAGAAACTCACACAAGTTTGGGTGGCCATTTTGACTGGTGCCTGGAATGCCTGGGAG